GAGCCCGAGGCCAGCCCTGAAGCCCTTGCCTGCTCCCCCTGTGGCCTGGGTGGGGACTAACTGTCCTGAGGATAAGGTGGAGCTGATGGAAGCCCAGCCCAGCAGGACGCAGCGCTCTGGGAACAGTGCTGCTCCCCATCACTGGGGTTAACCAGACTAGCCCCTCCTTGGCTGGGGAGCAGAGCCTGGGCTCCCCAACCCTTGAGCAGAAGCCAGCACACCCACCTTGCAAGGATGCCACAGGAAATCAGTGCACCTCCCTGAGCCCCAGCGTCTGCATCTGCAAGATGCAGGTTATAACCCCATCTCGCAGGGCAGTGGGAAGGAGAACTAATACAGCAACCAGGCTCCAGCGCAGAGCCTGGCCTGCTACAGGCCCCGCACAGATGACTGACACTCTTTACTGCATTCTCCTGCCTGATGCCAGACTCGCCTTGGTGATCCCAGGCGAGCTGAATAATGACCCCCAGGGATGACCATGTCCTCATCCCTGGAACCTGTGAATGTTAACTTTCCATGGGAAGAGGGACTTTGCAGATGAGTTAAGTAGCCTGGATTCTCCAGGTGGGCCCTTAAAGCAATCAACATTTCCTTATAAGAGAGGCAGAGGGAGAAAACTCCTACAGAAGAGGAAGAAGGTGATGCGAGGACAGAAGCAGTGGGAGAAAGGCGATGTGAGGAGAGGTAGGGGTCACGAACCAAGGAATGCAGGCGGCTTCCAGAAGCTAGAGTGGTCAAGGAAATGGATCTCTCCTGGACCCTCCAGAAGGAACCAGCCCTGCCAACACCGGGTTTTAGGTCCATAAGACTTACTTCAGAATTCTGGCCTCCAGAACTATATGAAAATAAACTTGTGTTGTTCTAAGCCACTAAGTTTGAGGTAATCTGTCACAGCATTAACAGGAAATGAATACATTGCCCTCAGGTCTAGTGAAGAGTCATGCAGGCCAGCGAGAGACAAGCCCATTTCCATAGGCCCGCTGGCCTCGCCAGACCTCCCCTTCTCCTGCCATCATCACTTCCTACTTCTCCAGGTGCTCTGCCCTCACCCCACCCCAAACCAGCCCCAGAAAGAAGCAGGCCCAGAGAGGGGACATGACCTGCGTCCAGCCCAGACCTGGTGAATGGAAAGGCGTGGAGAAGACTGAGGGGCAGCCTCCTGGCCCCAGCTCTCTACTAGCCCAGGGAGGGATAGCACTGAGGGCCCCTCATTCAGTGACAAGGCCCTGCTTGCAGCCAGAGCATCTCAAGCCTGAGCCTGCAGCAGCATTGCCTGGAGGGCGTGTTCAATACAGATCCTAGGCCTCATCCTAGAGTCTCTGACTCAGCAGGTCTGGGCCGGGGCCTGAGAATCTGCATTCCTAACAGGTTCCCAGGGGACGCTGATACTGCTGGTCCAGAGCTTTGGGGAACCACTGACGTAGGGGGCGATTTCCTAACAAAGGGCTATATGTGCTTTCAAGAAGGAATCAGCTATGGGCCAGCCCTGTGGCTTAGCGGTTAAGTGCGTGTGCTCAGCTACTGGCGGCCCAGGTTCGGATCCCGGGTGCGCACCGACGCACCGCTTGTCCGGCCATGCTGAGGCCGTGTCCCACATACAGCAACTAGCAGGATGTGCAACTATGACATACAACTATCTACTGGGGCTTTGGGGGAAAAAAAGGAGGAGGATTGGCAATAGATGTTAGCTCAGAGCTGGTCTTCCTCAGCAAAAAAAAAAGAAGGAATCAGCTGGACCCGTCCAGGAGACCTGTGGTCCCATGTGTGCTCCCAAGAGACAGGCCAGCATGTGGCTGAGGGCCTGGGCTCAGGGGTCGTAATTAGATTCCTAATTCTCCTATTCCTTAAGTGGGTAACCCTGATGGCTAGTTATTTAACTTCTCCATGCTGCCTCAGTTCCTTCCTCTATAAAATGGGGTGGCACAAAACGCCCATCCTACAGGGCTGCTGAGAGGATTAAGTGAGATCAAACACAGGAAGGGGTCACAACAGAGCCTGTTGACAAGGTCAGAGTTACTGTGAGGAACAGTCATCAACGGTGGGTCTTCTTATAGCTCTGTAGCTGCCCCCAGGTATGTGGGGAGAGGTGAGCCAGGACATTCACCTGCAGAGACAAACCTGCACAGACTCTCCCTCCAGGGAGCTCTGAGCACTGCCCACGTCTAGACCAGCACTGGCCCCTGCAGGGAGCACTTCGCTGTGGCCCTGCTGGGCCCAGGATCTGTGTCCCTGAATCGGCCAAACACTTCCCAAGAGCAGAAAATCAGCGATTCCAACCCCCTCCCAAATAGAGACTCAGCTCCCTTGATTCTCCTGTGATTCTCAGAGGCCACTGAGTAACTTCTGGGTGATTCACTGGCTCCAAACATACACGCCTTCCAGAAGCTGCCTGAGCTGTGGTCTCAGTCACTTGTAGCTGGAGAGGCCCGGGACGTGGGCAGAGGGCTGAAATGGCCCATAACCTGCCAGGTGGACACAGGTGGCCAGCAGCAGGTCCTGATCAAGCGAGAACCAGCTACCTGCACTGGAATAAAGTGAGAAGTTCCCAACACGTCAAAGCGACATGGGGGACAACTTGAATGCCTACACCTGGGACAATTTGAACAAGACAATAAATAGTGATAACAATAGAGTATAATCGTAGACTAACGTGAACATTCATGCATTTATTTGATATAAATAAACAATCAAATAAATAAAGAAATGGAGGAGAAGGGACAGCTCTTTCTTACAGTAGAATTCCTATTGATTAATGTGGAAGGAATGATGGAAATAGAAAATCACCATTTGGCAAACACTAGTAATTACTTTTTCTAGCAAGAACCATCAGTGGATGTTAAAAGTTAGTAGGTGAGGGGCCGGCCCCGTGGCTTAGCGGTTAAGTGCGTGCTCTCCGCTGCCGGCGGCCCGGGTTCGGATCCCGGGTGCGCACTGAGGCACCACTCCTCCAGCCATGCTGAGGCCGCATCCCACATACAGCAACTAGAAGGATGTGCAGCTATGACAGACAACTATGTACTGGGGCTTTGGGGGAAAAATAAATAAATAAAATCTTTAAAAAAAAAAAAAAAGTTAGTAGGTGAAAATTGGATGAGAAAAAGGATATTTACATATTATCAAAGTATCACCCCACAAGATACTTACTAATTATAAAAGGACCAACTTTAAAGTGGAGAAACCCAGCAGACCTCACCTTAACTGATTTCCCATATGATGTCACGTGTCCCCTGACACGCGTTAGGGAGGGCACAACAACACTTTTATGATGTATTCCCCAAAATGCGTAATCTGAGTTTAATCAGGAGGCAATATCAGGCAAACTCAAATCGAGGTCATTTTAAACAGTAACTGGCCTGTCCTCTTCGAAAGTGTCAATGTCATGAAAGATAAGAGATTGAGCAACTGTGCTGGATTAGAGATGAGAAGGAGATATGACACTAAATGCAAGGCTGGGTCCTAAACAGGAAAAAAAAGACGTTAGCAGGCAAGAAACTGGCCAAATTTGGGTAAGATTCCTAAGTTAGTTAACAGCACTGTTATCAGTCCCTGGTTATATAAGACGGGAACATTCGAGGAACTGGGTGAAGGGTATATGGAAATCTCGGTACTATTTTTGCAACTGTTTTTATGTGTCTGAAATTATTTCAAAGGAAAGATATTTTTAAAAAGAAAACCAAAGTCCCGGATTGGCTCTGTCGTGGGGAGGCAATGTGTGCCCAGAAACAGCCCATCTGAGAGCCGACACACCTTCTCAGGCACCTGCCTCCTGATCAGGCACAGTACTTGCTTTGAACACAGCAAGTGCTCAGCAAGTATTTACTGACTTCATTCAAAAGGGAGTGCGGAGAGGCAGCGGCTCTGTCTTCAATGGGTAGAAGACGTGGAGAGGGGTCTCCACTCAGCAAACATTGATGATGCATCTATTGTGGGTCAGCCATTGTCAATACGGAAATGAAAGGGAAGCTCAGAGCCTGCTGGGAGGAGGTGTGAAAACAGATTATTCTGGTGTGGTAGTGCGGTGGGAATCCTGGAAGGGCCCCACTCAGTGTGGGGGATCCCAGTGCCCCCAGGAGGAGGTGGCTCCTGCGCTGAGGCTCAGAGGATCCCTAGAAGGTGGCCAGGAGGAGGGGGCATTCCAAGCAGGCTAGGCAGCAGGAGCTGAGGCACAGGGACATGTGCTGGCCTGGACAGGTAAGATGGCTGGGGCGAGAGGGGCCATGCAGCCAGCTGATCCTTCGCAGTAGGCCCCCTCTGAGGCAGGTGTGGGGAGCAGTGGAGATGTTGGGGGTGAGGAGAAGGTTTCAGCCTCTCTTCTAGAAGCAGAATGGATGGGGTAGCAAGGGGACAAGTCTTTGAGTCCTAAAGACCAAGAAAAGTAACATCAACTATGAGCTTCAAGGTCCCAGGTGAGAATGAAGTGAGGTGGGTTTGGTACAGAGAGACAGCAATGGTGACACACCCCTTCTATCTGGGGGTCTCAAAGCAGGGAATAGCAAGAGGCCACAAAGTATAATTTTGAGCTTGTCCTTATCAGTAGGGTGACCCTCTAGTTTACCGGGATGACTTGTGTTGCAAACTGGGGCACTTGAGAGAGTGAAAGGGGCACTATGAATTATCATGCTGAGACAACACATAACTAAGGTCACGGCACTAATATGGGCCTCTGGCCCAGCAAGGACTCCCACTGCAGGGGTGGGTAAAGAGCCTCAAAGCACTGTGTCTACACCAGGACAGCCTGCAGCCTTGGGAGCGGTGATGTGCGAGACACTTCCTTCTCAGGTAACCAGAGAGGAGCTGGGTGCTCGCATCCCACCCATGTATTTACACAGGGTCCCTGGTCAATGCACTCTTGCGTGCAAAGGTGACTGTCCCCTCAGGACGATGCAGATCAGGAACTCCAAAAAAAAGACAGAGGCAGAAGAGTGGCCGTGGCTGCCAGCCTGGGCTCCCTGGTGGCAGGTGATGGCACGCCGGGACAGCGGGCAGAGGGCCGAACTTACCCGTGCACGCCATGGACTGAGTGAGGCTCGTAATGGTACCTTCCCTCCTGGTGTCTCATGTCAATCGGTAAGGGCGCATGGAACGGTGGCAAAAGGTGCTGCGGCACTGCGGAGGGGAGAGAAACACGACTTTAGAAACTTTCCCCGCCCTCGAAAAGCAATTTTCAAAGGGCTTTAAAGCTCAATGAATTTCAGAGCAAGAGCAGTCAGGACAGGGGGCTCGGCGGTGCCCAGCTATCACACACCCACGAAGGGGGATGAATAAATAATCAAAGTCAGCCCCAGAATCCTACATCTTTCACATAAAAGATCCCCAACTGCGCTCTTGACAAAGACAAGCAGCTAAGCGCTCTTTGAACTCAGGGAGATTACAGGCTCGGCTGCAAATCAGGGCTGACAGAGCCGACAGGCTTCTGCCCATCCCGGCCTTGGCGGCGTGTGGCTCCACAGCCCCGGGTTACGGCGTCAGGACGCTGCAGTCACACAGGCTGGAAATATTTACCTAGAATCATCTGTGAAGCCAGGGCCCACTCCCGGCTGCGGCCAGCCTCAGGAAGGCCAGATCCCACCGAGCTGCCTGCCCCATCCTGGTGCTGGCATACAGTGGACACCCATGTGGGTCTGTTAATTCTCCAGCTCTTAATATTAATTACTGACCCCAAGTGCACTGGCGGGTGCCTCCGAGATGCAAACACCAACAGGTGAGCATCGGTTTCCAGAGGTGACTCAGTCTCCTGTCTGCACTTAACCTGCCCTCAACAAATCATCATAATTGTAGGATGCTCTTTGCTTATTAAAAAAAAATTCCTGGGTACCCTGGAGGCAAACATAATTATAGGCTTTAGGAAAACAAGGCTCTTTAAAAAGTAGTTAGACTGGGAAAAGGGCTAAGAAGTGGAGATTTCTCAGTCAACTCTCACTTAGGCTGACCGCCATGGGCCAGTGGGAATCAGTGTTGGGTCTGAATCGCTGAAGAGTTTAAAGAAATGTGGATGGATTTGTTTTATGTGAGCACAGGTCAGCTGAGTGCAAAGCCTACTGTAATAAATGCATACCAATCATGCTGCTAACTGTTTCTGTGCAAACAGGTTCTGGTCCGTATTGTAAACACTATGAATTTTTTTTTATTGTGGTAAAATATATGTAACATAAAATTTACCATTTTAATCATTTTAAGTGTACAGTTCAGTGGTATTAAGTCCATTGTTGTGCTACCACCATCCATCCCCAGAACTCTTTTCATCTTCCCCAACTGAAACCCCATCCCCATTAAACACCAGCTCCCCATCCCCCCTCCTCCCCTCACCCCTGGCAACCACGGTTCTACTTGCTGTCTCTATGAATGTGGCTACTCTAGGAACCCCATCTGAGTGGAATCACACAGTACTTGTCCTCGTGTGACTGGCTTACTTCACTTAGTGTAATGTCCCCAAGGTTCATCTATCGTAGCCTGTCAGAATTTCCTTCTTTAAGGCTGAATAATATTCATTGTATGGATATACCACATTTCAGTTATCCATTCATCCGTCGATGGACACTTGGGTTGAATGCTATGAATTCTTAACAAGAGGAAACTTTTCTCCTGACATCTTCAATTTAATTTTACATGTTCAATTTTATCTTCATAATTCAACAATATTGGCAACTTCCATGGGCACTGGGAACAAAGAAAGCAAATCGTCTCTCCCTGATTAAATCAATTTGCCAAAGCCAGACTCTACAAATCTTGGGCTCAAAGGGGAACTGGCCGTCGGACATGACACAGGTGTGCTGTCCCATTCCTCTGGCTGGGCCCTCACTCCCGGAGCTGGTGGTTGCTAGAGTCCCCTGAAAGATGAGGTTGGGCATGCGGCCGTGACTCTGGCAGCAGTGACAGGATGACCAGGAGCCTCTGAGAGTCAGAGACCCCAAGGGCACACCTGCTGCCCCCCAGGGCGTGGCTCTGAGCAAGCTTCTTCACCTCTCTGCGTCCGTTTGTTCATCTGAAAACGGATCACAGGAACTACCTTCCTGGTTGCCACGAAGATAGAAAGTTCCTGCAGGGAGGTGCTTAGCCCAGGCCTGCGCACATAAGCAGCACTCCATACGTGTTACGACTGACAATGACAATTATATGATGATAATATTTGGAGCCCCACAGTCCATAATCAAACTATGAATATGCCATTTCCTAGCTGTGGGGCATGGGACAAGTTGTTCACCACTCCCTGCAAACACTGGGAGGACGGAAGGCTAGTGCTGGCCTGCTTACACACGGGAGACAAACTGGCCAGCCCCGAACCCCAGGGGAGTCACCTGTTCACCTCCCCAGATGCAGGAAAGGGCCTTTATGATTTTTTTTTTTAATGTGGCCAGGCAGACCAGATTACAGTATTGCTAACAAAATAAACATGGTTTGCTTTTGTGTATTTCTGAATGTTTCCCTGCATACCCAAAAGCCCCCTGAGGCAGCCAGGGTAGGTGTTACTGCGCCCATTTCTCAGATGAGGAAATGGAGGCCAAGGGTGATTTCAGCCCAAAGTCATGGGGCTAGAAAATGACAGAGCCAGGAGGAGAATCCAAGGGCCTGGATACCTGGTCATGGGCTTTTCCCTCCGCCCAGCCCAAATGAACACCCACAGACAGCTCCTGGGTGCAAAGGTGACCCCTGGTGTCCTCCTGTCCCTACCTTGCTTAGGTATTGTATTTGAAAAATGCACACACAGTACCAGGCCCTATCCTAAGTGCTTCACAAATATCAACTCCTGGGTCTTCATAGCAACTCCAGGCTGCACTTACCCTAGAATTCCTGGTCTTCCCACTGGCCATGCCCCAGCACCCCAGTGTGCTCCTTTCCTCCCCACTGCTGCACCTGCAGAGGTTGAAGGGGGTCCCCTAATGCAATCAGAGCCCACACCCCTCAACCCCTGACTTGGCACCATCTATGAGCAGAGATGTTGCTCTGCGCAGGATTAATGCAACTTCGCCCAGGTCTAAAGAGCTATAAAATCTACAGGAATGAAGGGCTCATGGTAGTTTACCAGACAAACATGAAATGGAGGCGGCACCGAGGCTGTGTGCGTGTGCGTGTGTGTGTGTGTGTGTGACGTGCGTGTGCACTGGGGGAGGAGGAGCCTGGGGCTTCCGGGAAGAAGCACAGGGCCAGCCACCCACAGAGTGCTGCTGCAGCTGGGCTGCTCCCTGCCTTCTGCCAGGTCCCTGGGGTGAAGGCTGTGGAGGTTACCAGGGGAAGTGGCTTTCTCTTTCTCAAGTCAAGGCTGCAGGTCAGGACCTCCCGCAGCCCCTGCTGCTCTCCAGGCGGCTGACACCAGCAGAATGAGCAGACAGCAGGCCACGCCCCTGCACCCCTCACCCTCACCCCCTTGGAATCCTCAGCAGGAGGCTGGGAACACATTAGAGGTTCCTCCCATCCAGGCGTTGATGTGTTAGGTCGGCCAGCAGCTTGAGTGTGGCAAAGTCCCCCCCGGGTCAGGGAGGGGAAGTGCTGCGGGCGCTCATCTTTAGTGACCAATGCGCTTCATGGGGCTTTGCTTATGGCACCTCATTTAGCTTTACCATCAACTCTGTTCTTATTCCCGTTTTTCAAGAAAGAACGTCGAGGCCCCGAGTGGCGTGTCTCTACTTCTAGGAGAGCACTGATCAGGCAGTTTGTGACTGTAGTTTCTTTCTCTCTCCCTCACTGAGCCCCATGCGGTTTCCCAGAGCCCAGCTCAGCACACAGCACACAGCACATAGCAGGCCCTCAACAAATAGGGCCTCTGAGCACTCACGTTCCAATATGGCAGTACCCAGTGTTGGCCCAGGATGGATGGACGTTCCTACGATCAGCTAGCAGAAGCAAGCAAGTTCAACCCGGGGACCTGATGTCCAGAACCCTCTGCCCACTCTCAGAGAGGTGACCCAGTCCATTCACATCAGTGGGGCTAAGTCTAGGCAGCAGTAGGAACATTCATTCATTCATTTGTCTGCCTTGTATCAAGTGCTTGCTATGTAGCAGGCGCTGTTCTAGGTCCTGGGAGCAGTGTAGTGGAAACGCAGCCTGCACCGCTACCCTCATAGAGCCATAGAGCTTCCCCCAGGGAGAAGACACAAGTGGTGAACAGACCAGCAAGTGCATTTATAAGGTAATGTCAGAGGGTGACAAAGCTAAGAAGGAAACCGTGGTGGGCAAGGGAACAGGGAGGGGGCTTGGAGGAAGTGCAGGAGTAAAGCAGGGCTCTCTGGAGGAGTGGGCATGCCAGGTGGGGGGAACAGTGGGTGCCAAGGCCCAGGGAGACCTCGGGTGGGGACCAAGGTGGGAGACCTCAGCGACTTCAGCACGAAGGCCAACGGCTGGAGCAAGGGATGGAGGTGGAGAGACAGGAGAGAGGGTCCTATGTGACCAGGCGGGCTATGGGAAGGACTTCGGGATCTTTTTTCTGGGAGATGTGGGAAGCCCCTCAGGGGTCCTGAGCAGGGACTCACATGCTCTGATGAAACTTTTCAAAAGGCCATACGAGTAGAGGCGGGTGGTGTGGGGCAGGGGCATGCATTGGCCAGTGACCCCAGATGGGCCCTGCCACCAGCCGGCCATTGGACTTTGGGGAAATTATGTCCCCTCTCTGGGTTTCACATTACCCATCTGCACAATGGGGATTAGATGAGCACTCAGTTCCTTCCCGGCAGAACTATCCTGCTGTTTGTGAACTGTCACCTGCTCCCCAGGGAAAGAGCCACACTCATCCCAGCCGGTGACACACTGAGGCTTCAGGAGGGGTCCCTGAACAGGTCACAGGCACTGTTTCATCTTCATGGCTGTCAACTTAAAAAGCAAATTTGCCTGTTATTTTATCCTCAAAACGAGTTTATTCAGAAATAGCCACAAGAATTGCAATTTGAGATGTGCATGCTATGGTGAACCATAGGCAAACCCAGAGAACAAAGGAGGGGAGCTATTTTTATAGAGAAAAAGGGGGAGTAGGGAGGGGCCGTGCTAAACCAAAGTCCATTAGGAGAAAGTAACAGTTCAGGGTGGCAACAGCTTCTCATTGACTGAGCTGCAGTGTTTCTCATTGGCTGGGCTGTTGCCAGGTGGAGAGAGAAATCTTCTTTCTGTGGTAAAGCAGT